CTTAACAAACGATTTATCTTATTAACCAACTATTTTGTAATCCTTTCATAGTTCTATAATCTTATAAGAACTGTAAAACTGTAAGAAGACTGTAAAAACTGTAAGAATAGGTTATTATGTTAAAACAATCTCGTTTACGAAATCTCGTATTATTTTAATAATTGTAAATTTTCATTCACATACTTCATCCGACAACGATATTTAGATCTAATAATACATTTTATAATATTTTGTTAAAAGTTACAGAATTTTTCTAAAACGTAAAAAGGAATAAATAAAAGCTTAAAAGGCAATAAAGTGGATATAGATTCGTTGATCTATTCGCTCGGCCGTTATCGATGTAATATTCACGTATTACGTCAGCCTACTCCATAACGATTGTTGATTAGTTCAATAAAAGAGTAACTGTTCATACATATGCTGGGAAGTTTGCTTTAAATGACTGCTATATTACATCAAGATCTCGTGATTTGTTCTTGAAGCATTCAAAATGGCTAAATGGTTTTTTGATATTTTAAACTTCGTATATCGATTTTGAATTTTCCTACTTCTGATATTTACCATTTGTTACTTATACCATTTAATTGTGTTAATTGCAGTCTTCGTTCATACCAATTAAATTTTAAATATTCGATGAATATATAAATATCGTAGTATTCGCCAACGATATTCAAATGTGATTCACAGAGGAATAGTTAATAACGAAAGCAAATGACTGTACGTATACAATAATGTCCTAACGTTCATACAGTTATCCTATGCCGGCTCTGGAAAGCATCGGCAACCTTGAACTTTCGCATAGGTAGGCATCCTCGCAAGAGATATTGTAAGGCCTGGTGAAATCGTGATTTATGTCTACCAAAAGAACATGGTGTTTAGAAGGGAAAAAGAGGCTGGTATAAATATGTCGTTCAGCTTGTTTGTCGGTTTCGAATTAGCATAAAGTTGCGTGTATCGTTCTATATTCTTTGCATCTTCTAATGATTTATTGTAGCACGATGTTCGATATTGGAAGACTATTTAAGCTCGATTGTTTAGTGACTACATGGACACAATTATGTAAGCATTTAAAACAAATTATACATTGTCATTGTAATTTAGATAATAAATATTTTTAAATCCCTTTTATCCAAATGCAGAATATCTCATACCAGTGTGCCACGGAACAATTGAAAATCACGATTGAAAATCATTATTCTATGATTCCAGACGATGACGTTTTATTATATGAATTAATGAACCTTATTGTACGTTATTTCATTTTATAATTTATTTATCGAATCTTCGTCATCTTTTTAATACCTATAATCATTACAAATTTGTTCTCAGAAAAGTCAGTAGGTGCATAATAAATTTCCAATAATAACGAATTTGTAGCTTTACTTCTTTTATTATCAAATCTCAATTCAAAATCAAGTTTAGTTACGTTAGGGGTTTCGGATTAATACTTTTAATTACACATCAATGTCCAGTTCTTTCACACTTTACCGATGTACGAGTCATAATAGGGATCGGCTTACCAGTCTATCGAATGTCTGGAAAATGAGGATCCGCGAAGACTCGGTTAGCTTGACGTAACGGGAAGAAATTAAACGCCACGCTCGGATGAAACGGAAATAGAAAGTTCTTAAGAAACTGACGCCGCTGATCGTGAACGTGGTGACTGGGAATATAAAACTCGTTCGACACAAACTTCATTCAACATTCCATACGGAGCAGTTTATAAACTTAATTGTGGAAAAACGCGTTCAATCATCTCCAAAAGATGTAAACGTGAGTGAACGCCACCGACACGAGGCAATGAATGTGTATCTACGACATTACATAAGGATATGTCGTAATTATGTAGTCGTTATGTTTGCGTTATACGGTTTCAGGTGTTTCTATGATGGTAACACGATCGTGTTCAACGAAGCTACACACGTTTTGCGTAATTACCGTGCTGCGCTGCTAATATAACGTGTGCCCTCCGTCGATGGTGTTGCGGATCTTGGAGCAGCCTGCTAGGTGATATAGCATGATACTTCGCGGATTATTAATTTACATTAAATAAGCTGCCAGTCGAAATTCACGATACGTTAATGCAACCGAATGAGATGCTTTCAGTCGAGAATGGAATTGATGGGTTATGAAATTAATACGCGTAGCTTTTATATAATATACATCCATTCATAGAAGTTTAAGTTCATGCTTTAAACTTGATAATAATTGAACTTAGACACATATTTTGAAAAATGACACAATTTATTATACTTATCAAGCAAATGCTACGTTTCATTATATACAAGTTAATAGATTCTCATGAAAAGCGTGACACAGGTGGTTTTCTGTGGAAATTGGAAAAAGTTAGAGAAACATTACCATGTTGTTTAATTTGATGAAAACCTCCCTTCGATGACTTTAAAATATGTTGCAAAGCTTATGTATAATTGAGAAAGGTTTTGTGCAGTACCATATTACGTTCCGCGACTTTATAAATATTTTTATGTATCCTTAACTAACTTTTAGTATCCATACATTTGGTGTTCTTAATTAAATTTTTATATACAGCCTTTAATATAGGTTGATTATGAAAATTCAGTAGTACTTCACACGGACATTAAAATTAATATATGTAAATGTACCTATAATGAAAAAATGTAATATTTTGGATTTTATAAAAATACGCGCCTTAGATTATTACTTAATATTTTCTCCTTAAAATTTTATTAAAAAAAAATTTTTAGTCTGAGTAGCATTCGGCTTTTTGAAACGCCAAGATGTAAATGTATTGATAATAGCATTGAAATACTATTATTCGATACAAAATAAAATCAGAATTTTCTATCTCTGGAAAATATAATCATATATGTCAATAATACATAATGAGATATTTCAGTTTTTCATCTTATTCGATAACCAAATTGAAATTAAAATTGGAAAGATCCAAAATAAGATACAGTACAGAATTAAGGAGCAAGTCATTTCTAAACTATAAGCGACGATGTCTGCCTAATAATCTTGGTTTAAAGGCTTTCAAAGTTTGTTTTCCAAGCATCAAACTATAATTATAATTAGGCTTGTTTCTTTGAAGTTGTACCCCAGATGAAAGATGGATTTCATTTCATGAAAAGGTTCATGCTTTTTGAGTTTTCTTCAATAGCGCCTAATCACGAAGAAAAGAATCACAACGAGAAGAGGCACGGTTGCGTTTCGATATCGGAAACGATCGAACAGTTAGAACTGAATAATTTTCTTGTGTCTTGCAATCTTACGAATCCTCGAAATGCGATAGTATTCTAATTACAGGGATCGAACGATGAAAGCAATCAGTGCGTTTATGTGGAGTTTGCGAATGATCTCCCCAGATGGAACTGGAAACTTGTGATAAGGCGATGAATGGCGATCTTGGTGTTCTCGAAAGAAGTTCTTTTTCTTTTTTCTTTTCTGAAAGTAAGAGCAGTAATGAGTAAGTGGGATAATGGAACAGCGTTCGTTTAATTTTTCTTTATTTATTCATTTTTATTGCTATTTTCTAAATTATTTTCTAAAGATAAACTGTGGATGAATAGTAATTCTCTAAGGATAAGAAACTTCTTTTAAGATATTTGTTGTCTTGATTAATTTTATTTCTTGAGATATTATTAAAAGTATAATAAATTCGAAGTTTAATTTCTTTAAAAGTCAAAGGAGGTGTGATTTGATTGCAACTGCTTGTGTTGTAAATATTTTGTAAATATTTTGAGATATGTAAAGCCAGTTTATCATTTAATAGATTGCATATGTTTTATTTAATTAAACATACAACTGTATTTATATAAATTGCAATCAAAAATTTGAAGTCACACGGCAGACATTCTTTGCTATAATTCGTATTTACTCTCTAAAGTAATGGATAGAAAATTATATATACTATAATTCTTTGTATTTTCGTTTAATTCTTGATCTTTAGCATAAAAAACTTTAATTTCCAAATATAACAGAGGAGAGAAAATTTAATAATTTGTTAAAACAAAGTGAAAAAATCATTCATGTTACATTTTTCTAAAAAACTAATTACTTTACGCCGAATATGACATGGGTTGAGTATAAAACATCGACAACTATGCCTGAGATAGGAAGAGAAAGTGCATGAATCTAGATAACTTGTTGAATAGAATGTACTCATTATATCTAATTTACGTCGTATTATTGCGCAACAAGTAGCTGTGCAACGAATAATCGAGTAATATTCACATCACGGTAGATTCCCTACCATCATCTTCTTTCCATGTACATCATTTTCTTCTTAAATTTATGCATACCTATTTATTTATACCATGAAATACTGTGAGGTTCATATTGCTGCACATATTCTGTAAAAGAAAATCGGAGTTAGGTCTTAAAACAGTATGAATTAAGTTCTGAATGTATTCAACACAGTTGTCATTTTATCACTGCACAATATTACCATTATTTGTTTCATGATCATATTATTGTCATAATATTATGTACTTATATAATTATTATAGAGAAATAGTAAATTACTTTACATACAGTCAATGAACATCTTCTATTACAGCACAGCAAAGGACATATTCAATCGTCGTTTCATTAATTTAATCCCTCCACAACGTAACATAATAAGTGGGAATCGATAAATGCTATTTTCACATCTTAAATGTTATTACATATTTACTGCAATTATTAAAGTTTATTGTTTTTAAACAGTTGAAAATATGCATTTTTGTATAGAAATGCAAAAAAATCGTGGCAATAAAAAGATTATTAAATTCTGTGTTTATGCTGAATTTTTCGTAAGGTTAATATTAGGTTGCGTAACATGTAAATTCATTCGCCTTTCAGTATTACATTTTGAGGAATATCATAGAAGCGTTATTTACGTTAGATCGAATGGACAAGTGTATAAGAGATATGGATAAATATTGTTTATAATTATATCATTCAGTGATAGCAATGTAGAGGAAAAACGATTATCATGAATGTTTTGTGATAAAATTGTTTGTTGCTGTAATATGTATATTATAGACTTCTTACATAACGCAGCAGAAATAACGGATTTTTTCATTAAATAGTATCTAGAATGTAAAAATATACATTTCGGAACTTCTTTATTAAATTACTTAAGGTTACTATAAACTTGTAGTTACAGCGAATTTTCTCGAACTGGCGTTCTGACAAACTCAATATGTTAAAGTAATCAAATATGTGCTTACATACATACATAGATTCTTATTAATGCACGAATTATGGTCTTCAGATCTTTCAGTTATCAGAGCGATAGTTTGCGCGAATTCGCGTTCACTATAACAACAGCCTAATCTATTTGCAAAGCACAATAGAGCAGAAAGCACATACATCGTTAATTAAAATGATCTTATATGATAGCGACAATTTTTGGCGATTTAAAGTAGCTTTAACATCTTAATGCAATTCTTCTTGCACTTCTGTAAGCATATACGGAGGTTACGATAGTTTCATGATAATACGTGTTCGAACAGAAATATTACTGCTCTTTATGTGTCTTCGGGTTGGGGAGATGGCTGTTTGATTCGTGAGTTCTAAAAGTCAGTTGGTCGATGAGTCGGCCTGAAACCCTTGAACCACATGAACAATACAAAGTAGGAGAACAATCGATCGAACAGTGGCGAAGCTAACGTTTCAAACGACCGCGTACGACCGTCTCTCAATTTACGCGGTACTTTTTTTATGCGATTTTAATTTACGCGACCAGAAAATATATTTTTCTAGGAATTTTAAAAGTAACAAGTGTATACAGTAACTTATTCGGTGATGTTGAAACGCGTCAATGCTGTGTGAGATAAGGATAAAAGTACATTACGTGGTGCTAGTCATCATCTACGTACATATTTTTTCTTTTGTACTGACAGACATTCTTTATGCGATTTTCATTCGCGTGAAACGAATCCACGTGGAACGGATACTCTGCATAAATTGAGGTACGAGTGTATCTCAGTGATTTCTCTGTTTCGTTGGAAGATGTGTTGTTTGTCGGTCGGAGGCTGCCTCTGTAGAAAAATCGGCAATTCGGAGGCGTTAGCGTCTCGTCGCTAAGCATCTTATCGTCATTAGTAATAGTACCGTTCCATTGATTGACGGTGTACTTTGCGAGCAACTTAACGGGTCGATCGTTCTGGTAGATCTACCATTCTTACTGTTTATCGTTTATAACGAATAAGATATTTCAGTTTTATAATTCGTTAAATTACTAAAAGTGGGGAAATTTGTTTTGTAATGGTTTTAAATATGCCCGATTTAAATAGAAATATAATATAAAGCTTATACATATGATTAATTGTAAAGAAAATATTAATGTTTTATAATTTTACAAATTTATTACTATCTCTCCATGTTATATTTTCCAATTTTACACATTCATCAAACATAAATGAATTTAAAGCATTGTAGAATGTATCATAAATATTTTCGAAACTTCAATCTTTAATATAATTAACTACATGCTAAATAAGAGTTTATTATTCGCGAAATAGATACTCGGATAAGAAACCATAGAAATGTTTGAAGATCGATGCGAAAACAAAGTGTTCCAATAAGTTATTTAAGTCCGCAAAATCTTCACTTACTATAAACTGGTTGTTGTTTCTGTAGTATCGGAGCTTCAACAGCCGAAGGAATCGGAATGCATAAACGTGCTCCGTTGCAATTTAAGTTAGTTTCGAATCGGTTTTTTCTTTCAGCGTCTCGGATTGTTTCTGTTCGCGAAATTGAATCTGTGACATTCTTATGACAGTAGGATACCTCACATTGAATACAAGCATAATAACAATTCTTTTGAGTGATTTTTTATGAAATAAAAATTAGACGGAATGAAAAGGACTGTATACTTTGAAAAAAATATTTAATAAATATCGTTCGTACTATGCGCTACATTGTGCAGTATACAGGATATCCCAGCTGTTGCATAATCGGCATTATATATATATATATAATAATAATAATAATATTTCATTTTCGAGAAAATTTGTTAAATGTATTTAAACTTCGCTAATTCCGGATTGAATAGGGCCAAATTATCGAAAATAGGTAAAAAATGTAGAAATATGTTTTTGTAAAAATTTTGTTTTCGAAAAAATTACAAATTAGGTGCGAGTACATTATATATGCATGTTTAAACTATCTTCTTGAAAAGGAGGTCTTAAACGGAAATTAAAATTTTTATTACCTCTTGCTGAGTGTTCATATGTTTCTAGTCGGTAATTATTCAAGTTTATGCATACCGGACTTGACACATTTTTAAACTCGGTTTTCTAAAAAAAGAAGTGACATATGAAAAAGTTGTATTCTGAATATATGTGCTGGTGATTACGAAAATGGTGCGCGTCATACGTTTTTCGTTTCGAGATATTTACTGTTTTGTGTTTGACGCGTGAACTGAATTTTGTTTAATGACGCAACAATCAACTTAATTCTACGGTTTAATTTATAGTATTTTGCAAAGATGGATTCAGATTATTGTAATGTAAATAGACGCAGCGCAAAATAAACGATAAACCCATTTTTCTTTTAGATTCTTGACTTAGGCCACTTACACAATCACCTGCATATATGTATTTTCGACTTGTCTTTTCATGTAGAATCATCTTATTGTCGATTGCTGTATACATACATATGTAGATCATTTGACATGAAAATTGAGTGAAATATAAGTAGGATGTACATTTTATCGTCTTAATTACTATGTTTTAGGTGACTGTTGAGATGAATAATGCATTTTAGATATAAAGTGTGTCATAGAGAGAAAGGTTTATTTGCCTTACATTTATCTTCCATGAAGATATTGATTAGCTTAATTTTTCCTTGAAGCAAAAAGTTTCAAATGATATTATCATCGTGCAAACGCAATATTAGTATGTCTAACTATAATAACTACTTTATTTTGCCATTAAATTAGTATTTACAACGGATATTAAGAAATACTATAAAGTTAAATTAACGAACAGGTTGATACACAAATATCATTATAAAATTATACTATATAGGAATATTTGTTATTAAAATAATATATTTCGACTGAGGAAATATTTGTAAAGAATCGAAGAATGTCACCTTGCACCGTAATAAGATAAATTGATACGTTTTGAGTGATGAAATAAATATGTATTATGTGTTTTGAAATTTTTACTTGTAATATATATATGAAGAGAGAAAGTAAAATATATTTTAGCGTATTTTTAATTAATTAATTCAAATAAAACTGACGAAAATTAAAAACTAAAAAATGTATCAACATGCTCTAATCTTTCCCATAAACTAAACTACCAAACAAAAATTATTGGAAAATAATATTCACATCCAAAATCATTGAAACTTGCAACTCAAATATTTTCTGAATTCACTTGTTACGATTGTTCGCGGACAGACGCGTTGCTAGGAAAACGCGTCAGCGAAGGGCGTAAATTCTCGCTACGATTATGTTAATCGACGCCGCGAAATAGTCGTTCCTCTGTTTCGGTTAAGATAACAGAGGTGGTTTAATGAATGTAACACTGTATTAACAGGTTAACATAGAATGATATATTTTCCAATAATATGATGATGAATAATATGTTACAGAAATTTGACTCGACTTTACGATATCTCTAGATAAATTCGTTTGCTCGTCAGATTTGTCGAAATGTCACGTTTGACTCGTCGGAAGGAACTGATCGCCCTTCGATTATTCCTTTGTCTCATTTGGAAGACGACCCCCATTATGGTCGGGTCACGCCACCGCTCGCGCCTATGATCACGTATGCCTCTTCTTGCGTGAAAAACGTAACGGTCAAAAATCGACGTTTCTAGAGCTCGCTCCTTGGCGACAACTATGCTCTCGTCGATACATTGTATATGATCTGGCGGGCAGATAAGACGGTCTGCCTGCGACGTTGTAGGACCGCGAGCGACAGTTAGAAAATACAGCCTGTGGTAAGCCTCGTGGCGTAACACACTGTTTGTTCCTATTTCCTTTTGATAACATAAAATTATTGAGAGACACTATTCATATCTAAAAGATCTTAATTCTTTTTGGTTTAAGCGGAATTTAAGCCCAACTTAACACGTTGACCGCCACGACATCCGTATTCGGGTGTCAGCAAAGTTTCTGGTCAGGCCACGTAACCCATATTCGGGTGTCGTTTATTTGACTACTTACGAAAGATCGTCGTAGGTATTTGAAAAGATATTCCATAATAATAAATTGTTAATTAATAATTAATTGTAATAATAGTTGAATCGTTATAAAATAAAAGTACGAAAATGGTTTATTAAAAAAATTATTTAGAATGCAAAACTTTAAAGCATTCTATACATAGTTGAGGTTGGTCGGGACAATTTGAACAATAAGTTGTTGTTTTCTTCAAATTCTTTCGTGCCTTTGTTCGGTCCATTCGACGTCTTTTATTTGCATAACATAGTTTGCATGCGCGTCTAATTCTTCTTCCGGAATCATTTTTCCGAACGGCGATATTATGCCGACTCCGTCGAAGACAAGGATTTTTTGTATTTTCAGACAACCTTAATAATTTTGCAACTAATAATTGTCTAAATATTCTAATATTTATATTTTTTCTTGTTGCAATTTTGCAAACCGTCAAAGCGTTTACAACAGAAATTGCCAGAAAGAATCGAATGCCAAGTTTCCTGTACCATTTGATTCCTTTTCTAATTGTAGTGGCATAAGAAACCATTTGGTCGGAATAATCTATACCACACTTTCCTTCGTTATATTCAACAACAGCTAGTGGTTTTAATGTTGCGAACAAATGAAACGAAAGATCATTCTTGAGGCCACATCTTGAGCAACTCGCGTTACTAAAATATCGATGGGAGCACCTAGCAGAGAACGCTTGGTACGCGTGGCCTGACGGAGATTTCTTTGAAAACACGCGTGGCAGTTGTCACGTAAAATATCAAAATAAAAAAGGAATTTGAGGTGAAAAATAAAAAAAGAAAACTTTATTTTTTTCTAACATCAATACACTTTACAATCTACTTCCAAACTCTAGGCGTGACTTTCTAAGACTGAGACTCTTATGATTTGACTTTCGATCGGATCCGATTACTTTCTTTTGTCATCCCTCAACATCCCCACCGTCCATGCATTTGCTAGGCGTCCGCGACCGTTGCCACGTGCTCTTTCTTCTAGAACCTTCGATGGAAGGACCGTTGGGATGTTCAGAACCTTCGGTGGAAGGACCGTTGGGATGTTGATGGCTCATTAGGCACTTCAGCGATATACATTGTTGCCGAGTGCCGCCACACCTTTATCTCTATCGTCAGTCCATCGGATTTGAAGTATGCCGGTAGTGACACCACCATCGCAACCAGTCAACGTGTTAATCCACTGCCAATAAGATACAGTTTCAAAACTTGTTCAGGATTCAAATGTATTTTTATATTTTTGTAATCAATATTCAATATTTTTATTAAGTTAACGCACAGTAAAAGAGGATATACTTTATATATCACAATAAAGCTTTGGAAAAAGCCAAATGAAATCAATCGTCGAGTTCAGCTCGATATAGGACTGCAAGAAGTTAAAGCTTTTTGTAGCTATAAGAATCAAAATTGTCGGGATATGTTCCGCATTTACCGTTTGCTACTATCTCGAGAGGATTAATGGATCTAATTGGACAGTGCCGTAAAAAAGTTGTACGGGAAAGGCGGGGTACGCGAGAGCACGAGGATCTGTCCAATAAACGAGATATTGTGTTTCGTGTTGTAGGTAATGGTAATCGAGGATGCCTCGATAAGGTCGACGAGTGCAACGCAATCGTCCCTTCCCTCTAAAGTCGTTCCATAACGAACTCCGAGATCCTTTAGATGTTCTCCGTCAGGCTGCAAAGTCGCGTTCGCGTACACATAAGTTATTGCGCGCCTCGACCGTAAAACAATGTCAATCCGGCACAATGAAACGATTTCTCAGCATACTCGGAACTGGCCAGCATCGGACTAAGCTAGCAGGAAACTCTTAAAAGTCGCTTAGAAATGATTTACTGGGTCATGGGTTGGATATTTATCGCGGACAGCGTACGGATGTCACAGCTAATTGCGTCTCTCCTTCGCTGTTCGTAAATCCGATGTTCTCTAATCCTTCCAGCGTAAAATTATCTCACATATGCGTTTATTATAATTTTATTATAGTAAAATATGTTTTGGAGTGAATAATTTTTCACTTTTGATGTAAGACGGAGAAATTGTCAAGGTACAGAAATTTAAAAAAAAATTATCGTAATTACATATATGTATATACGGTAAACCTCGCCGATATCAATGATCATGAAATATCCTGTCAAGATCAATATCCTGGATAACCTTTTTTTAAACATATAACCGCCACTCGGTCTCAGATAGTTTCAATTTCGTTTCCTAAATTATTTGAAAGGAGCTTCAATTAAATTTACGATTACACTTCATTCTCTAGTGGGCAGCCACGGACGAGTTATCTCGTATTATGCTACGCTACGGACGAGATATCTCGCATATTTGTTTATTAGGACGAGAGTTGTAACTTGCGTAAATATCGATCCACGATACCTCATAGCGAATGAAAGGCATATTGTTGTTCAGAACAATTTTATTTATTTTTATTGTACTGTACAAGTAACACATAAGTACATATAAGTATCTAAATGGCGTAGTACGAAGAATATCGTGTCATGAGACATCTTGTCCATGGTTGTGTCACGTAAAATGGATAAGTAGAATAACGTTGAACGGAGAAAGGGGTGTTGTACAAGAAAAGCAACTAGAACGAGAACAAGTACTGCCCGAGCTGGGTAAAGTCTCGGTTTATATACGTTTTGGTTTTAGGATGTTGAGGAGCTAGGTGTAGGTTATGATGTAGAAAAGTGTCCGAAGGTCGGGGGTCCATATCCTATCTCTGATGTGGACTGAGGTGCGTCACAGCCTTGGTGTATGCTATGATGATAAGGTGGTGATGTGTCCAAAAGTGTCCGAAGGTCGGGGGTCGATGTATTATCACTGATGTAGGTTGAGATGTGATTGATGTTGCGACAGTTGCGAAGTGGTTAAACGATTTTAAATTCTCCCTCACAACACAAATTTAATTAAATTCGTATTACGTAAACTTAACATTAACTTATTGTTACTAGTAACATTAACGTCAAAAGTTGAAGGTACATTAAACTAATTGTAAAACACATTTTCATTTTATTTATAGAATTTTTTTTAATCGTGATATTGATCATTTACTCTTCGTCTCATATATATTTATTGTTCTTATCAAACATCTTGCACATTCATACAAATTTACACACATTGTAAAAAAGTGTAACGTAAGAAACAATATAATTTCGTATTTTTCAAATCTCTTCTAACAAATAAATTTTCCCTCTGATAGGGTCTCGTTATTTCTTTCTATTTTGACAAGCGTAGCTGTGCAATAGTGTGAACAACTTGGAATCGATTGTCATATATGTCATATTGTCAAGTGTGTGATTACTCTAGAAAATGTGCTGGACTTGTCAGATTCAGCACAAACGATAATATGTAACTATCTGCAGAAACATGCTTATTAGATAAAATTGAGCTTGATATCATAATATCCTTTGTTAATAATAACTACAGTTTCTAATTGCAACCATGGTAAATACAGATCAAAAAGCTAATAAAAGAGAAAGGCTAAAGCTAATTTGAAGTTTACCGTGACTATTAATATTATACTTCGTATCTTTAATATATTCTTGCATACTTCTATGCATTTTTTAAGTTTCTTATATGTGCATAAAAATTTGCAGTTTATTTACAAAATACATAAATGTGCGTAATCAATACTAATATTTTAATGAAGGGAACATTTGATACGAATTCCATCTTGTATAATATGTAAGTGATAAAATATAGAGAAGAATTAAATTATAATTACTAACATATCATAAAGTATTAGTTATCTCTCCGCCAAAGGGCATATTCGCGTTATCAAGTCAACGAGTTCTACAAACCAGTAAAGGCGTGCCAAGGAAAGATAGGAATATGTACTTAAAGAGTTTCCATCGTGAGAGAAAGAACGATAACGTATGTCTGGTTTTATACACGATACATATTGACAAACTTGCACTTCGTTCAATTCAATCGACACGAGCAGTTCAGTTCGACCTAGCCTAGTTTAACCGATTTCACACTACCAAACATGATAAGAGCGCTCTTGGAACCGACGAGTACCATCGGCTCGATATGTACTTGGAACTCGTAATAATTGAACGAAACGATCCCCGATGATTGAAACGGCAAACAGCGTCTCACATCTAATTGTCAATTTGTGTAATGATCTTCAATGGGTTCATTCCTCTTTTACGTCCTGAACATCGTAAAAAGTTTAAAGACTTCATTATTTATATATTTCGAATAGCGGACAATCAACCCGTTCAACGAGTTTGGCATGAAAAGATAAAAATCTTTTATCTTGGGAACAACAGTTAGCTTTGTCGCTATATAATTTCTGTTATTATATAATGTTTACGCACATGTAGAAATTTAGTATTGAATTTTTAATTTACGTTTAATCTGTATAAATACATGTGGGTGGTTAATTGAAATAGTTATGTGGAACGAGTCGAACAAATATAGAGGTTAACGAGTAATCCCACTCTCTCTTAAAAATTTTCTTCAAATATGTTTCTTGTGATTTTTGTTTATTAATAGATGTTTCTAGATGTTAATAGTATTGACAAAGTTTTATCATGCACCAATAGAAATGAGCATGCGAATTTGGTTTTACTTTGGAACTTGATATAATTAATAATTTGAAAACGTGAGAGACAATAATTATTAGAAAGGTGTATCAGCTTAATATGTAAAAATTATTTGTTATAGATTAATTATTATATATTTATTAAGACATAAATATGATCACGTTTACCTATGGATGTTTCACTCTCTTAGTTATATCCCCACATAACAATGTCCGACTCATATCTATAGTTTGTAGTCTACGCTACAGAATAATTTTGAGAAAATTATACTATTTTCTTCACGATTCCGATCAATTGCATTTTTTCAAAAAGTTTTTTACGCATCATTTCATAAACTAATCCTCTTAACTTCTCAAAAAAAGAAAAACTTAAGTCGTTTGAGACAATTTTAAAAAAGTTATTCTGTTTTAAATAATGTTCGAATATTAAAATAACTGTATATACAAGGTGCTCATACGTTTTCTCATGCTTCTCATATCTATAGAGATGTTTGCCTGGGGAAATTAAAATGGGACACCCTGTATTGTATATTATTATTATATGTATGTATGTATGAGACCTTCACAATCTATTGTTTGAAATGAAATAGTCAACCTTAATGATTTTGATGACTTCCCAATGATTTTTTGGATTTACCGAAGACGAGATTTCATAATTGTTCCACTTATGCACAGAGTTGTACGTACAATATATAATATACATATACGTTAGAGACAGTAATTAAAATATAAATTCTTAATCTTTTATAAACCTAGAAAATATACAAAATCATACAGTGCAATAGTGTACACTTCTAATCTTTACCTCTAACCTACGAATATCCAATAAAACGCGACGGCGCAGTCGAACTCACATTGCACTTCACGTATTAGGGTGTGACGTTTCGCCACGATTTATCTTCAACGCGCGAACTAATGCATCGTAAACAGAAAATGTTTGAGGAAGGGGTCGTTACTCCCGCGGGATACTCGAGCTATACCTTAACGTAATGTAACGTCCATCAAAAACAAATAGCTTCCCCGTTATGGAATCGGTGGCTTTGATTGACCTCTTGTCCGAATCTCTTCAAGTTCACTCTTTCAACGTGAAATTGTCCCGTCCCGTTCCGTCGAACAAAAACGAGAAGCGTGAATCTTCCACTTGAAAGCCTGGCTTTCTAGAAGTGGTCAAAGGTCGCGGACAGCTTTAGCAAACGGGCATAGCCAAGTAATGGTGGTTAATAACAGGCTCACGAGACGAGGGCAGGTGCTCAACTCGTCGTGATTAATTAACCAATAATAGACTTTCTTGCTTCCACGCGGCGAGGAACGCTCCGCATTGCGGATGGATCCTCTCACGATAGGGTTCGATAGCGATAGCGATGGGACTGATACGGCACGTATTAATGATATTCAAACAATTTGGTACCTACAATTCATGAAAGTATTCGGGCATTTACGTATTATGTGCGTTATACGAAATTTGTTACAATTTTGTTAGCATTGTGATAACACATGATTATCGTGATTAGTCGTGATCGTAAAATTTGAAACAAGTCCGAAAATGTGTGTAGAAGTTCCAAGACTTATTGCAAATGAACATTTAATTAAAAAACTGGTATACTTCGCGAATAATGGTCTTAAACAAATAATTAATGTTAAGGATGGTCCCATTATAAATATCGTAGCTCACTAATATAATTAGTAATTGATTTTTCAAATATTTTGATTATCTTTGCAGAATGTATGTTTGTAATAAATATTTTGTAACTTGTGTACATACCTTCGGATCCGTCTCAAATTGTACCAATATTATCGTGATAGTCGTGCCTCATTGCAGTGGTAATGAACTTTCAAAATGTTTTGTATGATATAATACATTAATACACTGATACACAACATCTTGTAAAATATAATAACATAATAATATAATACATAATTTCGTGAGTAAATACCCATTGTTAGTGAAAGTATCGAAGTAATCGAATAGTTATCGAAGAACCGAATTTTTCAAGTAAATTTATACACACAAATATTAATATTGATAAATCATAAACATTAACATATAAAGCTTAATTTTTTATTAATTATGTAATAATATTGCATTAAATACTGCTAACTAATAATAATTTGTACGTTTTCTACAGAATAGTTATGTATTTAGGTTATATGTATGTAGTTATGTATTGTATTTGATAAATACAATCGATCTTTTGTTACTGTAGTATTTGTATCAATATTTTCATGTAATATCAATTGCATATTGACACTTTAATACAAGTTGTTGCGATTTCTCGAATAGGTGGCGATCAGTCAGGTTGCAACTGATTGATTTGATATCGCAACCTTGAACGAGATTAACGCTCAAGGTGGTGGCAAATTAAAGATGCGGAGTAGTAGATTTATTTGCGCTTTTTAGTATACACGAAGAGAATCACTAGCAAGATACAGAATAATGTTATGTTCAGTTAATTTAGCTGCACTGTTGAGTAATACGAAGAGTATGACGCTCTGATGAAGACTGTTATAAGACTGCCTTAAGAAGCTTCGCCTGGTCCTTATACACTAATATTCTGTCCCCGGGTTTTTTTTTCTAGCACGGTTTTTATGGGATGGAAATCTATTACTTCAAATCTTGTAATTGCGTACTCTCGTGAGCACATATCCTCTGGTATTTTTGTCTGAGACCAGATGTTTACTTTAGAACTGACCCATCGGGCAGTTAGGGTGTTTATTAGCCTCTTAATGAAGTCCGCATCGTAAGATTTACAACTTGGGAGGTAGGAAATTCGGACTTTCGCAAAAAAGGCAGATGTGCTGTCGGAGTCATAAAAGGACGGCCACT